GGATTTTTTAAAGAATATTTTTTCAAGGCTCTACAAAAGAGGCGTGGATTTTTTAAAGAATATTTTTTCAAGGCTCTACAAAAGAGGCGTGGATTTTTTAAAGAATATTTTTTCAAGGCTCTACAAAAGAGGCGTGGATTTTTTAAAGAATATTTTTTCAAGGCTCTACAAAAGAGGCGTGGATTTTTTAAAGAATATTTTTTCAAGGCTCTACAAAAGAGGCGTGGATTTTTTAAAGAATATTTTTTCAAGGCTCTACAAAAGAGGCGTGGATTTTTTAAAGAATATTTTTTCAAGGCTCTACAAAAGAGGCGTGGATTTTTTAAAGAATATTTTTTCAAGGCTCTACAAAAGAGGCGTGGATTTTTTAAAGAATAAAAAAGAGGCGTGGATTTTTAAAGAATATTTTTTCAAGGCTCTACAAAAGAGGCGTGGATTTTTTAAAGAATATTTTTTCAAGGCTCCACAAAAGAGGCGTGGATTTTTTAAAGAATATTTTTTCAAGGCTCTACAAAAGAGGCGTGGATTTTTTAAAGAATATTTTTTCAAGGCTCTACAAAAAGAGGCGTGGATTTTTTATTAAAGAATATTTTTTCAAGGCTCTACAAAAAGAGGCGTGGATTTTTTAAAGAATATTTTTTCAAGGCTCTACAAAAGAGGCGTGGATTTTTTCAAGGCTCTACAAAAGAGGCGTGGATTTTTTAAAGAATATTTTTTCAAGGCTCTACAAAAGAGGCGTGGATTTTTTAAAGAATATTTTTTCAAGCCTCTACAAAAGAGGCGTGGATTTTTTAAAGAATATTTTTCAAGGCTCTACAAAAGAGGCGTGGATTTATTAAAGAATAGTTTTTCAAGGCTCTACAAAAAGAGGCGTGGATTTATTAAAGAATATTTTTTCAAGGCTCTACAAAAGAGGCGTGGATTTTTTAAAGAATATTTTTTCAAGCCTCTACAAAAGAGGCGTGGATTTTTTAAAGAATATTTTTTCAAGCCTCTACAAAAGAGGCGTGGATTTATTAAAGAATATTTTTTCAAGACTCTACAAAAGAGGCGTGGATTTATTAAAGAATATTTTTTCAAGACTCTACAAAAGAGGCGTGGATTTATTAAAGAATATTTTTTCAAGACTCTACAAAAGAGGCGTGGATTTATTAAAGAATATTTTTTCAAGGCTCTACAAAAGAGGCGTGGATTTATTAAAGAATATTTTTTCAAGGCTCGTGGATTTTTTAAAGAATACAAGCCTCTACAAAAGAGGCGTGGATTTTTTAAAGAATATTTTTTCAAGCCTCTACAAAAGAGGCGTGGATTTTTTAAAGAATATTTTTTCAAGCCTCTACAAAAGAGGCGTGGATTTTTTAAAGAATATTTTTTCAAGGCTCTACAAAAGAGGCGTGGATTTTTTAAAGAATATTTTTCAAGGGTCTATCAAGGAGGCGTGGATTTTTTAAAGAATATTTTTTCAAGCCTCTACAAAAGAGGCGTGGATTTTTTAAAGAATATTTTTTCAAGCCTCTACAAAAGAGGCGTGGATTTTTTAAAGAATATTTTTTCAAGCCTCTACAAAAGAGGCGTGGATTTTTTAAAGAATATTTTTTCAAGCCTCTACAAAAGAGGCGTGGATTTTTTAAAGAATATTTTTTCAAGCCTCTACAAAAGAGGCGTGGATTTTTTAAAGAATATTTTTTCAAGCCTCTACAAAAGAGGCGTGGATTTTTTAAAGAATATTTTTTCAAGCCTAGCCTCTACAAAAGAGGCGTGGATTTTTTAAAGAATATTTTTTCAAGCCTCTACAAAAGAGGCGTGGATTTTTTAAAGAATATTTTTTCAAGCCTCTACAAAAGAGGCGTGGATTTTTTAAAGAATATTTTTTCAAGCCTCTACAAAAGAGGCGTGGATTTTTTAAAGAATATTTTTTCAAGCCTCTACAAAAGAGGCGTGGATTTTTTAAAGAATATTTTTTCAAGCCTCTACAAAAGAGGCGTGGATTTTTTAAAGAATATTTTTTCAAGCCTCTACAAAAGAGGCGTGGATTTTTTAAAGAGGCGTGGATTTTTTAAAGAATTTTTTCAAGCCTCTACAAAAGAGGCGTGGATTTTTTAAAGAATATTTTTTCAAGCCTCTACAAAAGAGGCGTGGATTTTTTAAAGAATATTTTTTCAAGCCTCTACAAAAGAGGCGTGGATTTTTTAAAGAATATTTTTTCAAGGCTCTAGGCAAGGCGTGGATTTATTAAAGAATATTTTTTCAAGGCTCTAGGCAAGGCGTGGATTTATTAAAGAATATTTTTTCAAGGCTCTAGGCAAGGCGTGGATTTATTAAAGAATATTTTTTCAAGGCTCTAGGCAAGGCGTGGATTTATTAAAGAATATTTTTTCAAGGCTCTAGGCAAGGCGTGGATTTATTAAAGAATATTTTTTCAAGGCTCTAGGCAAGGCGTGGATTTATTAAAGAATATTTTTTCAAGGCTCTAGGCAAGGCGTGGATTTATTAAAGAATATTTTTTCAAGACCTAGGCAAGGCGTGGATTTATTACAGAATATTTTTTCAAGGCCTAGGCAAGGCGTGGATTTATTACAGAATATTTTTTCAAGACCTAGGCAAGGCGTGGATTTATTACAGAATATTTTTTCAAGACCTAGGCAAGGCGTGGATTTATTACAGAATATTTTTTCAAGGCTCTAGGCAAGGCGTGGATTTATTAAAGAATATTTTTTCAAGGCTCTAGGCAAGGCGTGGATTTATTAAAGAATATTTTTTCAAGGCTCTAGGCAAGGCGTGGATTTATTAAAGAATATTTTTTCAAGGCTCTAGGCAAGGCGTGGATTTATTAAAGAATATTTTTTCAAGGCTCTAGGCAAGGCGTGGATTTATTAAAGAATATTTTTTCAAGGCTCTAGGCAAGGCGTGGATTTATTAAAGAATATTTTTTCAAGGCTCTAGGCAAGGCGTGGATTTATTAAAGAATATTTTTTCAAGGCTCTAGGCAAGGCGTGGATTTATTAAAGAATATTTTTTCAAGGCTCTAGGCAAGGCGTGGATTTATTAAAGAATATTTTTTCAAGGCTCTAGGCAAGGCGTGGATTTATTAAAGAATATTTTTTCAAGGCTCTAGGCAAGGCGTGGATTTATTAAAGAATATTTTTTCAAGGCTCTAGGCAAGGCGTGGATTTATTAAAGAATATTTTTTCAAGGCTCTAGGCAAGGCGTGGATTTATTAAAGAATATTTTTTCAAGGCTCTAGGCAAGGCGTGGATTTATTAAAGAATATTTTTTCAAGGCTCTAGGCAAGGCGTGGATTTATTAAAGAATATTTTTTCAAGGCTCTAGGCAAGGCGTGGATTTATTAAAGAATATTTTTTCAAGGCTCTAGGCAAGGCGTGGATTTATTAAAGAATATTTTTTCAAGGCTCTAGGCAAGGCGTGGATTTATTAAAGAATATTTTTTCAAGGCTCTAGGCAAGGCGTGGATTTATTAAAGAATATTTTTTCAAGGCTCTAGGCAAGGCGTGGATTTATTAAAGAATATTTTTTCAAGGCTCTAGGCAAGGCGTGGATTTATTAAAGAATATTTTTTCAAGGCTCTAGGCAAGGCGTGGATTTATTAAAGAATATTTTTTCAAGGCTCTAGGCAAGGCGTGGATTTATTAAAGAATATTTTTTCAAGGCTCTAGGCAAGGCGTGGATTTATTAAAGAATATTTTTTCAAGGCTCTAGGCAAGGCGTGGATTTATTAAAGAATATTTTTTCAAGGCTCTAGGCAAGGCGTGGATTTATTAAAGAATATTTTTTCAAGGCTCTAGGCAAGGCGTGGATTTATTAAAGAATATTTTTTCAAGGCTCTAGGCAAGGCGTGGATTTATTAAAGAATATTTTTTCAAGGCTCTAGGCAAGGCGTGGATTTATTAAAGAATATTTTTTCAAGGCTCTAGGCAAGGCGTGGATTTATTAAAGAATATTTTTTCAAGGCTCTAGGCAAGGCGTGGATTTATTAAAGAATATTTTTTCAAGGCTCTAGGCAAGGCGTGGATTTATTAAAGAATATTTTTTCAAGGCTCTAGGCAAGGCGTGGATTTATTAAAGAATATTTTTTCAAGGCTCTAGGCAAGGCGTGGATTTATTAAAGAATATTTTTTCAAGGCTCTAGGCAAGGCGTGGATTTATTAAAGAATATTTTTTCAAGGCTCTAGGCAAGGCGTGGATTTATTAAAGAATATATTTTCAAGGCTCCAGGCAAGGCGTGTATTTATTAAAGAATATTTTTTCAAGGCTCTAGGCAAGGCGTGGATTTATTAAAGAATATATTCTAGACAAGAACAGGTTCTAAATTCATGACAATTACGAGTTAATATGGGAATTCAGTTTTTGTTCAATTTGGATGCCCTCCAAATTGTCTGTTTTGATGGAAAATTAAGTGGCTTTTTCCAATGCATCCCCATATACACTGGAAAACCTTGAGCGATGACAAATCGAGCAATGTTTCATATTTGTTGAAAATAAATCATAGTTGTTTTTTTATTCTCCATATTCACATACATATTTCCAATCTAATCGAATTCGCAGTGAATCAGCATAATTTAATGTAATTTTACGCCATTCAATCAGAAAGTCATCATCGTCATCATCAGGATAATCATCATCATTATGATGATGATGAGGAAGCATGTCATCCGCAGCATGCAATTCGTATCATCAACTTCGACAAGAACATAATCAATGGCATGATGATAATAATCACAACAACAACTCCATTTTTAATATTTGAAATCAAGCAGTCACCCGAACATGCCTCCACATCATTCGCAAGATCCTAGGTATTATCCTTGGACCATGTCAGATTTTTTTTTATAGAAGAACTGCATTTAAATGCACATCAACTAGATGAAGGGGGTGTGTGTGTGTATTTGGCATATTCAATTTCCATTTATCTCCTCTTCTATCTCTAAATCGCAGATATTACTTTATCTTATCCCTCCATTTTTCTCCCCTTCTCTTTTCAGACGAAGGAAAAAAGTTACATTTTGTCAGCCCGGCACGCAGGAAATCTGTTCTGGCCCCCATTCTAAATAAAATCAAAAATGGCAATGATGCCAATGGCAGCGGTGGCGGCGGCAGTGATGGTGGTGGCAGTGCAACTGGCGGCAATGGCTCAGATACCGAAAAGAAATCCAATGCCACCGATAGTACGGGTCATATTAGTGTACAAATAGAACCGGCTAAAAAGGTCAAGGTAAGTTTTGTTGGATGCGAGCTCCACTGCTAGGTCTCGCGGTCTTTGATTCATGGCAAGTAACTGTCTGTATGTCGTAGTGTGTGTGTGTTTGTGTAGAGCGTGCGTGAAAATAGCGAAGCTGTACAAACACCAAAGCTACTACATCTGTTCTGACTGACTGACCGACCTTCATGTCTAAGAAGAGTTTTGTTGTTGTTGTTGCTGCTGTTTCAATTTAAATGTGTTTTTATTATTTCCAGCGCCACAGCATTCACGGCATGATGGAGGAGGAGAACATCATACGACCTCATCAGGAAATACGCCAATTGACATTGGAGGAGAAGAAATTTTTATTGGCCGTGGAACGAGGTGATATGGCTGGCACCCGAAGGTCAGTAAGCGAAACAAAAAATGGAAGTTAGGAAAACATAAAATAGAGACAATTTTTTTTGAAATCTTTTTAAAGAGGATTTAAAAAATATATTATATGGAAGCTATGGCAGCATTTGCACCAATTGAAAAAAAAAGTAACAACGTCATTGGTGTTAATCGACAATCATTAGGAGTTTGGTGCACCATATATATATATATCTATAAATGAACCGATTTTTCCGAAACTTACCACACATCAGTCTAGACTCAATTCAGTACGCTGTGCCAAATTTCATGCAAATCGAAAGATATTTAGGGACTTTGGTGCACTATTTGCCTTAAATCGGACGAAAATATATATATGGTAGCTATATCTAAATCTGAACTGATTTTCCCGAAACTCACCACTCATCATTCTAGGCTTAATTCCGTTCGCTGTGCCAAATTTCGAGCAAGTCGAAGAATATGTAGGGACTTTGGTGCACCATTTGCCTTAAATCGGACGAAAATGTATATGGGAGCTATATCTAAATCTGAACTGATTTTCCCGAAACTAACCACTCATCATTCTAGGCTTAATTCCGTTCGCTGTGCCAAATTTCGAACAAATCGGTAGATATTTAGGGACTTTGGTGCACCATTTACTATAAATCAGACGAAAATATATATGGGAGCTATATCTAAATCTGAACCGATTTTCACGAAACTTAACACACATCGTTCTACTCTTAATTCAGTACGCTATGCCAAATTTCGTGCAAATCGAAGAATATATTGGGACTTTCGTGCACCATTTGTCTTAAATCGGACGAAAATGTATATGGAAGCTATATCTAAATCTGAACCGATTTTCAGGAAACTTAACGCACATCATTCTATGCTTAATTCAGTATGATGTGCCAAATTTCATGCAAATCGTAAGATATTTAGGGACTTTGGTGCACTATCTACCTTAAATCGGACGAAAGTGTATATGGGAGCTATATCTAAATCTGAATCGATTTCAACGAAACTTAGCACACATTGTTCTAAAGTAAATTCGGTATGATGTGCCAAATTTCGTGCAAATCAAAGAATATATAGGGTACTTGGTGCACCATTAACATTAAATCGGACGACAATATATATGGGAGCTATATCTAAATCTGAACGGATTTTCATGAAACATAGCACACATCACTCTAGACACAATTCAGTACGATGTGCCAAATTTCGTGCAAATCGAAAATACATATGGGAGCTATATCAAAATCTGAACCGATTTTCACGAAACTTAACACACATCATTCTAGGCTTAATTCCGTTCGCTGTGCCAAATTTCGTGCAAATCGAAGAATATATAGGGACTTTGGTGCACCATTTGCCTTAAATCGGACGAAATTGTATATGGGAGCTATATCTAAATCTGAACCGATTTTCCCGAAACTCGCCACTCATCATTCTAGGCTTAATTCAGTACGCTGTGCCAAATTTCGTGCAAATCGAAAAATATATATGGACTTCGGTGCACTATTTACATAAAATCGGACGAAAATATATACGGGAGCTATATCTAAATCTGAACCGATTTTCAGGAAACTTAACACACACCATTGTAGACCTAAATCATTAGGTTGTGCCAAATTTCGTGCATATCGAAAGATATATAGCGACCGTTTACATTAAATCGGACGAATATATATATATGGGAGCTATATCTAAATCTGAACCGATTTTTCCCTATTTCAATAGAGCTCGCCCTATGGCAAATTTCATCCAAATCGGATGATAAATGCGACCCGTACTTTGTTTACAATTTAACATCAACAGACGGGCGATCAGCCGGACGTGCATAAATCGACTCAGAAAGTGATTCTATGCATATTCTCAAAAGGAACCATGGGCCTATCTCGTTTCCTTTTGCCAGTTACAAACATATGCACAAAGACATAATACCCTGTACCACGTTGATTAGGAGGAATATTTTTTTGGAATCCTGGATTTAAAAAAAATCAGAACTGATCATGTGGCAACTTTTCCGCTTGAACAAAGCAGACGGCCAATTCTGCGGCATCACGTCGCCAGCAGAAGCTGTTAAAGCGTCCAAAATCAATGTTTTGGTGATGTCTTAATCAGAGTGGATAAATAGTTTTGGCAATTACTTGGAGCGCATGTATGAATGGAGAATACCCTCATGCATTGATATACGAAATTTCACTATTAGTCCCAAAAATGTATAATAGCCCTCCTATATATTTATTTCCGTCTATTGAAATCACAAAATTAATAATAGAGCTTTGAAGTTTTATACATACATTGCTACTACTCCTAGAATCTTTGGTATAGGCCCCGTATAAAGGAACACCCCAATATTTGGAATTTTAAGATCCAAATGTTGTTTATATTTTCAGAAAATTTATATATTTCTCTTTGAGTGGAAAATCTGCCATACCAAGCTTTATCAATGTACCAATCGTTTTTGTATATAACGGTAACCAAGATTTTTGGTATATAGGGGATTTCAGACAAGATCGTCCAAAATCGTCATGGGTCTTGTTCGGTATGTTCAAGGTACTAGTCCAATTTCTAACCTTGTAAGTGTCTGAGGGTAGTTATTTTGTTTCCTCTTAGTAATAAATTAACATGGCATAGTTCCGATATGTTCCGATAGATTTTAGGTAATGTGAATGTTCACCTCCTGGCGATGGGTATAAAATGTTAGGAATGGCGGAAATTGTTGTTTTATTTTTGAAGTATTTTTTTTTAATTTTTATTAATGTTTACAGAGGGACTATTCTTGCTTTTTTATGATATTATTTCAAAAACTATTATTTTTCCCCCAGAATGTTACAAAAGTCCCAAGACACCGATTACATTAACATAAACTGTGTGGATCCATTGGGACGGACAGCCCTGCTAATGGCCATTGATAATGAAAATCTTGAGATGGTAGAGCTGCTGATAAGCTACAATGTCGATACTAAAGATGCTTTATTACATTCCATATCTGAAGAATTTGTGGAGGCGGTAGAGGTACTGCTGGATCATGAGCATGTCACATTTACAATAGAAGGGAATCATGTAAGTAATGGATTCGGAAACAATACCTTTTTTAAATAATTGAACATATTAAAATATTACACAGAGTTGGGAATCATCACCCGAGGAAACGTCCACCTTTACACCGGACATAACACCACTGATCTTGGCGGCACATCGTGACAATTATGAGATCATTAAAATTCTATTAGATCGTGGTGCTGTACTGCCAATGCCTCATGATGTGCGGTAAATTTTTGAAGGAGGGTCATTGTTTGCAAGAATTTTGAAAATATTTCTTTTTCTCCTCTCCTAGCTGCGGCTGTGATGAATGTGTTCAATCCCGCCAGGAGGATTCCTTGCGCCACTCACGCTCCCGCATAAATGCCTATCGTGCTCTGGCCAGCCCTAGTTTAATTGCCTTGTCCTCAAAGGATCCTATTTTAACTGCATTTGAGCTATCGTGGGAATTGAGAAGATTGAGTTTTTTAGAACATGAATTTAAGGTAAGAGGTCGGAGGGTCAGGTCCATAACTTCCATGGAAGTAATATTTTTATTTATTTTTTATATTATTCCTCCAGAATGAATATCAGGAATTACGCAAACAATGCCAGGATTTTGCCACCGCTTTATTAGATCACACCCGCACCTCTCATGAATTGGAAATTTTACTAAATCACGATCCTACCGGTCCAGTTTATGAGCATGGCGAACGGATGCATTTAAATCGTTTAAAATTAGCCATTAAATTAAGACAAAAGAAGGTGAGTTCAGGAATGAACTTTAATTTTCAAATTTGTTATATTTGTATATGCAATCCGATTTTTTCCAGTTTGTTGCCCATTCGAATGTCCAACAGCTTCTGGCGAGCATATGGTACGAAGGATTACCAGGATTTCGCCGCAAAAATATGGCTTTACAAGCTTTAGATATTATTAGAATAGGTGAGTAATTGCGGATCTTTTGAAGAATATATTTTCAATGGGTCTATAGGAAAAAATAATTTCCAAGGGTCCACAGGAGGCGTGGATTTATTAAAGAATATTTTTCAAGGGTCCAAAGAGCTCTAGACAAGGCGTGTATTTTATAAATATTCTTTAAAAAATCCACGCCTTGTCTAGAGACTTTTGGACCCTAGAAAAATATTCTTTAAAAAATCCATGCCTTGTCTAAAGCCTTTTGGACCCTAGAAAAATATTCTTTAAAAAATCCATGCCTTGTCTAAAGCCTTTTGGACCCTAGAAAAATATTCTTTAAAAAATCCACGCCTTGTCTAGAGACTTTTGGACCCTAGAAAAATATTCTTAAATAAATCCACGCCTTGTCTAGAGACTTTTGGACCCTAGAAAAATATTCTTTAAAAAATCCACGCCTTGTCTAGAGACTTTTGGACCCTAGAAAAGTATTCTTAAATAAATCCACGCCTTGTCTAGAGACTTTTGGACCCTAGAAAAATATTCTTAAATAAATCCACGCCTTGTCTAGAGCCTTTTGGACCCTAGAAAAATATTCTTTAAAAAATCCACGCCTTGTCTAGAGCCTTTTGAACCCACAGGAGGCGTGGATTTATTTAAGAATATTTTTCTAGGGCCCAAAAGGCTCTAGACAAGGCGTGGATTTTTTAAGGAATATTTTTCAAGGGTCCAAAAGGCTTTAGACAAGGCATGGATTTTTAAAGAATATTTTTCTAGGGTCCAAAAGGCACTAGACAAGGCAAGGATTTTTTAAAGAATATTTTTCTAGGGTCCAAAAGGCTTTAGACAAGGCATGGATTTTTTAAAGAATATTTTTCTAGGGTCCAAAAGGCTTTAGACAAGGCATGGATTTTTTAAAGAATATTTTTCTAGGGTCCAAAAGGCTCTAGACAAGGCAAGGATTTTTTAAAGAATATTTTTCTAGGGTCCAAAAGGCTTTAGACAAGGCATGGATTTTTTAAAGAATATTTTTCTAGGGTCCAAAAGGCTCTAGACAAGGCGTGGATTTTTTAAAGAATATTTTTTCAAGGCTCTAGACAAGGCGTGGATTTTTTAAAGAATATTTTGTCAAGGCTCTAGGCAAGGCGTGGATTTTTTAAAGAATATTTTTCTAGGGTCCAAAAGGCTTTAGACAAGGCATGGATTTTTTAAAGAATATTTTTCTAGGGTCCAAAAGGCTTTAGACAAGGCATGGATTTTTTAAAGAATATTTTTCTAGGGTCCAAAAAGCTCTAGACAAGGCAAGGATTTTTTAAAGAATATTTTTCTAGGGTCCAAAAGGCTCTAGACAAGGCGTGGATTTTTTAAAGAATATTTTTTCAAGGCTCTAGGCAAGGCGTGGATTTTTTAAAGAATATTTTTTCAATATTTAGGCAAGGCGTGGATTTTTTAAAGAATATTTTTTCAAGGCTCTAGGCAAGGCGTGGATTTTTTAAAGAATATTTTTTCAAGGCTCTAGGCAAGGCGTGGATTTTTTAAAGAATATTTTTTCAAGGCTCTAGGCAAGGCGTGGATTTTTTAAAGAATATTTTTTCAAGGCTCTAGGCAAGGCGTGGATTTTTTAAAGAATATTTTTTCAAGGCTCTAGGCAAGGCGTGGATTTTTTAAAGAATATTTTTTCAAGGCTCTAGGCAAGGCGTGGATTTTTTAAAGAATATTTTTTCAAGGCTCTAGGCAAGGCGTGGATTTTTTAAAGAATATTTTTTCAAGGCTCTAGGCAAGGCGTGGATTTTTTAAAGAATATTTTTTCAAGGCTCTAGGCAAGGCGTGGATTTTTTAAAGAATATTTTTTCAAGGCTCTAGGCAAGGCGTGGATTTTTTAAAGAATATTTTTTCAAGGCTCTAGGTAAGGCGTGGATTTTTTAAAGAATATTTTTTCAAGGCTCTAGGCAAAGCGTGGATTTTTTAAAGAATATTTTTTCAAGGCTCTAGGCAAGGCGTGGATTTTTTAAAGAATATTTTTTCAAGGCTCTAGGCAAGGCGTGGATTTTTTTAAGAATATTTTTTCAAGGCTCTAGGCAAGGCGTGGATTTTTATAAGAATATTTTTTCAAGGCTCTAGGCAAGGCGTGGATTTTTTTAAGAATATTTTTTCAAGGCTCTAGGCAAGGCGTGGATTTTTTTAAGAATATTTTTTTAAAGCTCTAGGCAAGGCGTGGATTTTCTAAAAAATATTTTTTCAAGGCTCTAGGCAAGGCGTGGATTTTTTTAAGAATATTTTTTTAAAGCTCTAGGCAAGGCGTGGATTTTCTAAAAAATATTTTTTCAAGGCTCTAGGCAAGGCGTGGATTTTTTAAAGAATATTTTTTCAAGGCTCTAGACAAGGCGTGGATTTATTAAAGAATTTTTTTCAAGGCTCTAGGCAAGACGTGGATTTTTTAAAGAATATTTTTTCAAGGCTCTAGGCAAGGCGTGGATTTTTTAAAGAATATTTTTTCAAGGCTCTAGGCAAGGCGTGGATTTTTTAAAGAATATTTTTTCAAGGCTCTAGGCAAGGCGTGGATTTTTTAAAGAATATTTTTTCAAGGCTCTAGGCAAGGCGTGGATTTTTTAAAGAATATTTTTTCAAGGCTCTAGGCAAGGCGTGGATTTTTTAAAGAATATTTTTTCAAGGCTCTAGGCAAGGCGTGGATTTTTTAAAGAATATTTTTTCAAGGCTCTAGGCAAGGCGTGGATTTTTTAAAGAATATTTTTTCAAGGCTCTAGGCAAGGCGTGGATTTTTTAAAGAATATTTTTTCAAGGCTCTAGGCAAGGCGTGGATTTTTTAAAGAATATTTTTTCAAGGCTCTAGGCAAGGCGTGGATTTTTTAAAGAATATTTTTTCAAGGCTCTAGGCAAGGCGTGGATTTTTTAAAGAATATTTTTTCAAGGCTCTAGGCAAGGCGTGGATTTTTTAAAGAATATTTTTTCAAGGCTCTAGGCAAGGCGTGGATTTTTTAAAGAATATTTTTTCAAGGCTCTAGGCAAGGCGTGGATTTTTTAAAGAATATTTTTTCAAGGCTCTAGGCAAGGCGTGGATTTTTTAAAGAATATTTTTTCAAGGCTCTAGGCAAGGCGTGGATTTTTTAAAGAATATTTTTTCAAGGCTCTAGGCAAGGCGTGGATTTTTTAAAGAATATTTTTTCAAGGCTCTAGGCAAGGCGTGGATTTTTTAAAGAATATTTTTTCAAGGCTCTAGGCAAGGCGTGGATTTTTTAAAGAATATTTTTTCAAGGCTCTAGGCAAGGCGTGGATTTTTTAAAGAATATTTTTTCAAGGCTCTAGGCAAGGCGTGGATTTTTTAAAGAATATTTTTTCAAGGCTCTAGGCAAGGCGTGGATTTTTTAAAGAATATTTTTTCAAGGCTCTAGGCAAGGCGTGGATTTTTTAAAGAATATTTTTTCAAGGCTCTAGGCAAGGCGTGGATTTTTTAAAGAATATTTTTTCAAGGCTCTAGGCAAGGCGTGGATTTTTTAAAGAATATTTTTTCAAGGCTCTAGGCAAGGCGTGGATTTTTTAAAGAATATTTTTTCAAGGCTCTAGGCAAGGCGTGGATTTTTTAAAGAATATTTTTTCAAGGCTCTAGGCAAGGCGTGGATTTTTTAAAGAATATTTTTTCAAGGCTCTAGGCAAGGCGTGGATTTTTTAAAGAATATTTTTTCAAGGCTCTAGGCAAGGCGTGGATTTTTTAAAGAATATTTTTTCAAGGCTCTAGGCAAGGCGTGGATTTTTTAAAGAATATTTTTTCAAGGCTCTAGGCAAGGCGTGGATTTTTTAAAGAATATTTTTTCAAGGCTCTAGGCAAGGCGTGGATTTTTTAAAGAATATTTTTTCAAGGCTCTAGGCAAGGCGTGGATTTTTTAAAGAATATTTTTTCAAGGCTCTAGGCAAGGCGTGGATTTTTTAAAGAATATTTTTTCAAGGCTCTAGGCAAGGCGTGGATTTTTTAAAGAATATTTTTTCAAGGCTCTAGGCAAGGCGTGGATTTTTTAAAGAATATTTTTTCAAGGCTCTAGGCAAGGCGTGGATTTTTTAAAGAATATTTTTTCAAGGCTCTAGGCAAGGCGTGGATTTTTTAAAGAATATTTTTTCAAGGCTCTAGGCAAGGCGTGGATTTTTTAAAGAATATTTTTTCAAGGCTCTAGGCAAGGCGTGGATTTTTTAAAGAATATTTTTTCAAGGCTCTAGGCAAGGCGTGGATTTTTTAAAGAATATTTTTTCAAGGCTCTAGGCAAGGCGTGGATTTTTTAAAGAATATTTTTTCAAGGCTCTAGGCAAGGCGTGGATTTTTTAAAGAATATTTTTTCAAGGCTCTAGGCAAGGCGTGGATTTTTTAAAGAATATTTTTTCAAGGCTCTAGGCAAGGCGTGGATTTTTTAAAGAATATTTTTTCAAGGCTCTAGGCAAGGCGTGGATTTTTTAAAGAATATTTTTTCAAGGCTCTAGGCAAGGCGTGGATTTTTTAAAGAATATTTTTTCAAGGCTCTAGGCAAGGCGTGGATTTTTTAAAGAATATTTTTTCAAGGCTCTAGGCAAGGCGTGGATTTTTTAAAGAATATTTTTTCAAGGCTCTAGGCAAGGCGTGGATTTTTTAAAGAATATTTTTTCAAGGCTCTAGGCAAGGCGTGGATTTTTTAAAGAATATTTTTTCAAGACTCTAGGAAAGGCGTGGATTTTTTAAAGAATATTTTTTCAAGGCTCTAGGCAAGGCGTGGATTTTTTAAAGAATATTTTTTCAAGGCTCTAGGCAAGGCGTGGATTTTTTAAAGAATATTTTTTCAAGGCTCTAGGCAAGGCGAGGATTTCTTAAAGAATATTTTTTCAAGGCTCTAGGCAAGGCGAGGATTTTTTAAAGAATATTTTTTCAAGGCTCTAGGCAAGGCGTGGATTTTTTAAAGAATATGTTTTTCTTGCAGGTATGATGTTTCCCATATTTTCATTGGCCTATATATTGGCGCCCTATTCCAGCGTTGGCCAAACAATGCGTAAACCTTTTATAAAATTTATCTGTCACAGTGCCTCATATTTTACGTTTTTATGTAAGTAATGGAGCGCTTCGAAAATAGATCGGAAAATAATTCCATTTCATTTCCAGTTTTATTAATGCTGGCTTCGCAGCGTATTGAAACCTTTATCGGCGGCTGGTTCTGGTCGGATAGTAAAAATAGTATGGTCCATCAGGTGGAAGAACTGCCCACGAAGAGGGGAGCTAAACCCACCTTTATTGAGTGGCTGATATTGGCATGGGTTAGTGGTGAGTATGAGTACCCCTTCTACAGAAATAATTTCCCTATTGATTCCCTTTTTTCTAATTCAAGGTCTCATCTGGAGCGAAGTGAAACAGCTGTGGGACGTGGGTCTGCAAGAATATCTCAATGACATGTGGAATGTCATTGACTTCGTAACGAATTCCCTCTATGTGGCCACTGTCGCTTTGAGAGTGGTTTCCTTTTTTCAAGTACAAAAAGAAATGATCACGAATCCGCATGCCACCGATCTACCGCGTGAGCGTTGGGATGCCTGGGATCCAATGCTCATATCGGAAGGTCTATTTAGTGCGGCGAACATTTTCAGTAGCCTCAAATTGGTTTATATATTTTCGGTTAATCCACATTTGGGTCCACTGCAAGTGTCATTGTCCCGCATGGTCATGGATATTATGAAGTTCTTCTTTTTGTATGTCTTGGTATTGTTTGCGTTTGGGAGTGGTCTGAATCAGTTGCTGTGGTGAGTTGAAGGATGGGAGAGAGAGGGAGTTATAAAAAAAATTAATTAAATTAAAAAATTATCCTCAGGTACTATGCCGACTTGGAGAAGAAAAGATGCCCGGAGGTCTCACCCACAAATGTTCTGCTCAATATGAATGGTACCACCGATCCGAATGCCTGCATTGTGTGGCGTCGATTTTCCAAGTAGGTGGTGTTGAGCGGAATTTCTTCTTAATTTATACTGAACTTTTATTTTCTATTTCTCCGCAGCCTCTTCGAGACAACCCAAACCCTATTTTGGGCAGTCTTCGGCCTTATCGATTTGGACAGCTTCGAATTGGATGGCATTAAAATCTTTACCCGTTTTTGGGGTATGCTGATGTTTGGTACCTATTCGGTAATAAATATTGTGGTACTGCTGAATTTGCTAATAGCCATGATGAATCATTCGTATCAGCTGATATCGGTGGGTATTTTGGATTATACAAATTGGATCGGAATTAATTAAGAAATTTATTTTTCAGGAACGTGCCGATGTTGAGTGGAAGTTTGCTCGATCCAAGCTGTGGATAAGTTATTTTGAGGAGGGTGGCACCTGTCCACCGCCGTTTAATATTATACCAACACCCAAGTCAATATGGTATGCCTTCAAGTGGGGCAGAAGGGTGTTCTGTAGTGGTTCGTCGGCAGCAAGACGGGAGCATTTGAAGACAATAAGGGTAAGCGGATGTTTAAACAAATATTATTTCAAGGGTCCAAAAGAGGCGTGGATTTTTAAAGAATATTTTGTCAAGGTTCTGTAAAAGAGGCGTGGATTTTTAAAGAATATTTTTTCAAGGTTCTGTAGAAGAGGCGTGGATTTTTAAAGAATATTTTTTCAAGGTTCTGTAGAAGAGGCGTGGATTTTTAAAGAATATTTTTTCAAGGTTCTGTAGAAGAGGCGTGGATTTTTAAAGAATATTTTTTCAAGGTTCTGTAGAAGAGGCGTGGATTTTTAAAGAATATTTTTTCAAGGTTCTGTAGAAGAGGCGTGGATTTTTAAAGAATATTTTTTCAAGGTTCTGTAGAAGAGGCGTGGATTTTTAAAGAATATTTTTTCAAGGTTCTGTAGAAGAGGCGTGGATTTTTAAAGAATATTTTTTCAAGGTTCTGTAGAAGAGGCGTGGATTTTTAAAGAATATTTTTTCAAGGTTCTGTAGAAGAGGCGTGGATTTTTAAAGAATATTTTTTCAAGGTTCTGTAGAAGAGGCGTGGATTTTTAAAGAATATTTTTTCAAGGTTCTGTAGAAGAGGCGTGGATTTTTAAAGAATATTTTTTCAAGGTTCTGTAGAAGAGGCGTGGATTTTTAAAGAATATTTTTTCAAGGTTCTGTAGAAGAGGCGTGGATTTTTAAAGAATATTTTTTCAAGGTTCTGTAGAAGAGGCGTGGATTTTTAAAGAATATTTTTTCAAGGTTCTGTAGAAGAGGCGTGGATTTTTAAAGAATATTTTTTCAAGGTTCTGTAGAAGAGGCGTGGATTTTTAAAGAATATTTTTTCAAGGTTCTGTAGAAGAGGCGTGGATTTTTAAAGAATATTTTTTCAAGGTTCTGTAGAAGAGGCGTGGATTTTTAAAGAATATTTTTTCAAGGTTCTGTAGAAGAGGCGTGGATTTTTAAAGAATATTTTTTCAAGGTTCTGTAGAAGAGGCGTGGATTTTTAAAGAATATTTTTTCAAGGTTCTGTAGAAGAGGCGTGGATTTTTAAAGAATATTTTTTCAAGGTTCTGTAGAAGAGGCGTGGTTTTTTAAAGAATATTTTTCAAGGTTCTGTAGAAGAGGCGTGGTTTTTTAAAGAATATTTTTCAAGGTTCTGTAGAAGAGGCGTGATTTTTAAAGAATATTTTTCAAGGTTCTGTAGAAGAGGCGTGGTTTTTTAAAGAATATTTTTCAAGGTTCTGTAGAAGAGGCGTGATTTTTAAAGAATATTTTTCAAGGTTCTGTAGAAGAGGCGTGATTTTTAAAAATATTTTAAAAGGGCATTATGTTTCGGGGATTTTTAAAGAATAGGTTCTCTAAACAGTGTAATAATTTCTGTTTTTGGTTGCAGCGCAAAGCCCAACAGGCCAACGACCGGGACTTCAAATACCAACAAATCATGCGTAACCTGGTGAGACGTTATGTCACCGTGGAACAACGTAAGGCTGAATCCCAAGGTGTCACAGAAGATGATGTCAATGAGATTAAGCAGGACATTTCGGCATTCCGCTGCGAATTGGTGGAAATACTGAAAAATAGCGGCATGGATACAAATGTGTCGGCAGGACAGGGTGGAGGTGAGTATTACGAAGTATTTCAAATATTCGAAATATTAATTCTGGGTTCTTTCCCCTCAGGAGGTGGTAAAAAGAATCGCCAAAAGGAGCGTCGCCTCATGAAAGGTTTCAATATTGCCCCACCGGGGTCCACCGGCTCTTTGGCACCCGTTGCTGAATTTTCAACCTCGTTGGATAATTTCGAACAGCAACATGACATCCTATCCTCTACCCTTTCGAATTTGTTTACACCCAATTTCATGCAAAAGAAGGCTACCTTCTGTGCCAGTGATAGTTTCAACAGTATGGAGTCCCCACCCCCATCGCTGATATCCACTGTGAACACCGTGCAGTCGGCCAATAAATATAACAAATCTACCCTGAAACCCTACAATAAACGTATTGCGGGTCACAAAAAGAAATGGGGTACCCTAATCGAAGCAGCCAAGGTGGGTAATGTTTCGAAAATGTTGGGTCGTTCCAAATCGGAGGACTCTGTGTGCAATTCTTCGACAACATCTTCGCCTGTGCATGGCCAGGTGCGGGTGACCTACTCGCAGAATGGCCAAAGTTATTACAGCAGTAATTCGAATGACTCGACAACGGCAACACCGAACTATCCCACACCAATGGCGGCGGGACTGCCCACCATACGCAAAGACCACTTGAAACCTTTAAATGTTAATGGACCCACATTGGGTGGCTTGACAGCGGCCTTGAATGGATCGGGAAATTCCAGTGGTTCGCATTTCTTTCACACACCAACGGGTAAATGAAAATGATTTTTTTCTCCCAAATTTTTTGGAATTTTTGATTTTGGAAAATTGATTTTTGAATCCTTTAAAAAAGGATAACTAACAAAAAAATTTAAAACGCCCCAAGTAGTTGTAGGTGTTGTTGTATTTGCCTGAAGGTATGTAAATGTAAATTAATTTCCATTTTTCTTCTTCCTTTCGTTGTGGCGTACCTCTGTCGTATTGTTGTGTGCAAATTGTCGCTTTTCTTAGGTCTTACCGCTATTGCCGCTTTAAAAAAGAAACGCAAGAAATTCTCATCGAGTAAAAATATTTGCCCCGTTACCGAATCCATATCGACTTCGAATGCTGCGGATCTATTAAACGATAAGGTTTTGTATATTTGTACCTGATAACAGATTTTTTCTGTGTTCCTTTGATTTTAAATCCACGAAATTTATTTTGTACTGCAACCACCACCATCACCACTACTACCAATACAACAAAGATTTGAAAATAATATTGAAAAAAAATTAATAATAAAGCTAACCAAAGTTTATTTCCAAACAAAGCACGTCTTACTACTACCACCAGCACCTTTATCTTCCCACAAAAAAATCCTCGTAAACCTAACCTAACATTTTGGTTAATTAGTGTAAGGTACCGTTAAGTTTAATTCAGATTTTGGATTTATTAAGAAATATTTTTAGGGGCCTATAGGAGGCGTGGATTTATTAAAGAATATTTTTCAAGGGCCAACTGAGGCGTGGATTTATTAAGGAATATTTTTTAAGGGCCAACTGAGGCGTGGATTTATTAAGGAATATTTTTCAAGGGCCAACTGAGGCGTGGATTTATTAAGGAATATTTTTCAAGGGCCAACTGAGGCGTGGATTTATTAAGGAATATTTTTAGGGGCCTATAGGAGGCGTGGATTTATTAAGGAATATTTTTAGGGGCCTATAGGAGGCGTGGATTTATTAAGGAATATTTTTAGGGGCCTATAGGAGGCGTGGATTTATTAAGGAATATTTTTAGGGGCCTATAGGAGGCGTGGATTTATTAAGGAATATTTTAAGGTCATCCTGAGCTTCTGAGGCGTGGACTTATTAAGGAATATTTTAAGGTCATCCTGAGCTCCATAGGCGTGGATTTATTAAGGAATATTTTAAGGGTTCATCGGAGACCTACATTTATTAAGGAGTATTTTAAGGGTTCATCGGAGACCTACATTTATTAAGGAATATTTTAAGGGTTCATCGGAGACCTACATTTATTAAGGAGTATTTTAAGGGTTCATCGGAGACCTACATTTATTAAGGTATATTTTTAGGGGTCTATAGGAGGCGTGGATTTATTAAGGAATATTTTAAGGGTTCATCGGAGGCCTACATTTATTAAGGAATATTTTAAGGGTTCATCGGTGGCCTACATTTATTAAGGAATATTTTAAGGGTTCATCGGAGGCCTACATTTATTAAGGAATATTTTAAGGGTTCATCGGAGGCCTACATTTATTAAGGAATATTTTAAGGGTTCATCGGAGGCCTACATTTATTAGGGATTATTTTACCGGTTTTTCAACCTTCAATATCTAAATTCTCTAAAAAAATCCTTTGGGAAAAATTGTCCCCTTTTCGTTTTTTATAAAATTTGCTGCACTTTTGTGTTTTTGTTTTTGATTCTCTAGAATTTTTTGCCTGCATGTCTGCATGTTTATTGATTTTGAATTTGATTTTTGTTCCCAATTATTATTAATATTGAATACTTAAATTAATTGTTTATTATTTTCTTCTTCTCCTGCCCCCACTCAACCTATAAAAGGCATTAAAACGTGTCTCCAGCTATCCGGCCTCCGATGGAACTGCTCAAAACAAAGATGCCGCAAATGTAGCGAAACCGAGACGCCATGAACAGACCCAAAGTCAACATGACTCAGTGGAAACTTCAACGGAATTTACGCTGGCCAGTGAAAAACAACATTTGGATCCGTCGAATACATCCGTAAATTCGCGCGAACCATTAATCAGTGGCAGTAGTGGTGCTTCAACGGGTGTGATCCATTAAAATGGTAACACCTGTGTGCGAGTGTGTATGACATGACATGAAATCGGCGATGAGAGGATGCCCACTTGACCTCTCCCTCCCTCTTTGCAGGGTAGTGATTATTAATTGGATTTTCAAAACAAAGCACACGAACGCTAGGTCATGTTTTCAGTAAATGGAGAAGACAAACAAAGAGAATTTTGTTTACAAATCATTTTTTGTATCGAAGTTCAAAATGTTTTGACAGCATCCCCGATGATGATGCTAAATTTGAATAATTATGTTACTATAAACAAAATATCGGATGTTAAAAATATGACAGGATGGCTCCATTAATTCACATCATTTAAAATTCTTTCTTTTTGAAAATCCGAAAAATAGAGATAACCGAAAATCGTACATATTTATATACTGGAAACAATGCTGCCATATGGACAAACAAAAAGCGGACAACAACAACAAAACACTGCCGTTTCATTAAAGATCCATAAAAAGAAAATAACAAAAACAAAAAATAAAAACAATTTATAACAAACTACCTATAAACACTATTTTGAGAAAAAAATGATTATTACAAAAAATACTACATAAAATAATTTAAAAACAAAAACAACAAACAAGTATTCAATGAAAAAAATCTCCAAGATTTCTCGTCAAACGCATGAATATTGAAAAAAAAAACACCAAAATTATATCAAACATTTCAACACCACCACCACGTCTAAATCTTAATCACCATGCCTACCTTACCTTAACCACCGCACCAAATGCCTCGAATCACAAAAATCACCTGACTAACCTAATCTGTTACACCTGGACACATTAATCACGTCTACATATATATCTATATCTATACCTATAACTATTATCCTAGTCACTCTCTCTCCCTCTTTCACAATCTATCAGTAATCGTACATATCATGCACCAACATTTTTTAAAAATCACACACTTTCGGAATACACATTTTCAATATACTCAAAATCATTAAATAATCACTAGAATCACTAGAATATTCTGCAGCACTGCGTGGGTTGAAATTGTAGGTTACTTTTGTTCCAGAAACATATCATGCGATCTTTAATAATAACAGTAATTCTGTACCCCTCAGCCTCTATATTCTGAAATCTGCCCCAAGTACCTTACTTACTTAGCTGGCTTGTGACAGAACTTTCGTTCCATAAGCCGAGCTTAAAAACATTTCCAGGCGCATCGATCTTTTGCGCAGTTTTTCCAGTTTGAAATATTCGTGGCCTTTCCCTTCTGCGTGAACCATCAGCTGGTTTGCTTGTATATGCCTTTTGGGCTGGGGCATCTTCATCCATTCTCACAACATGACCTACCCAACGAAGTCGCTGCAGCTCAATACGCCTGACAATACAGATGTCCGAGAATATCTGGTACAGCTATTGATTCATTTGACGGCGATATTCACCGTCGACGCAGATCGGTCCATAGACCTTTCGAAGAATTCGTCTCTCAAACACTCCAAGAGCTGCCTCATCTGCTTGCATAAGTACCATGCTTCAGATCCATGTAATAGTACGGGTAGTATCAGCGTCTTGTAAGGCGTGAGGTGGCCTTGCTTTTAAACTGCTTACTTAGACCATAGTAGCATCTGTTGGCCAATATTATCCTTCACCGAATTTCAAAACTGATGTCATTAGTTTTATTTACGGCGGTACCAGGGTATAAAAAATCTTTAACTACCTCGAAGCTGTACTTCTCAAGTTCCACAGTTGATCCGAGTCTATTGGACGTATTGCGCGTTGATACCATCAGCTTGGTCTTCTCGCCGTTTACTGTCAGATCCACTTTGACGGACTCCTTCGCAATTTGTTCAAACGAGCTGTTACCGCTCGCAATGTTCGACTCATTATATCAATGTCATCGGCGTAGGAGAGTAACATGTGTTGTTTGGTGTACAGAGTGCCATTTCCGACTTTAACTGCTATCTTGTGCCACTTAAAGTTATCCGCATATTAATGTTGCAGGAATGCCGAACGTAGACATGACATTAAACACCTCTGAACGGAAAGTGCTGTCGAATGCGGCTTTATAGTCGACGAATAGGTAGTATGTGTCGATGTGTTTTTCGTAGGTCTTTTCCAGGATTTGGCGCAGAGTGGAAATCTGGTCTTTGCCAGGCCTGAAACCGCATTGGTATGGTCCCATAATGTCATTCACCATTGGCTTCAGTCGTTCACACAGCATGCTGAATAGCACTTTATATGCGAAGGGTAGGAGACTTAAAGAAGGACACAGGATACTGAGGTTCCAATCATTGGACATGCATTCCTCTAGCCAAATTGTACTAATCGCTGGTACATGCTCCTGACCAGCATCTGACCACCAGTCTTGAATAGTTCGGCTAGGTGGTATACGATCTATATCGTCATCTCTTATTGGTTCTGGGTAATCTTCTTCACCGCCACTATTTAATACCATTCAAAATGCTCCTTCCAGATCCTCAACACGCTGTATGTATCTGTCACCAGGTTACCTTCTTCATCTCTACAGTAGGATGTGCCGGCGCCAAAGCCTTCATTTTGATGTTTCACTCGTTGATAACATTTTCGGACTTCATTCTGACTCCTGTACACATTCTGACTCCTCCTACACATTTCTCCTCTCTCTTTTTCTCCCGATAATTCTCCATCAAATTACGTGTTGCTACTGCCTGCAGGGTTTCCCTATACGCTGCGTTTTTCAGATCAGTAGCATTACGACCCTCCTGATCGTACAATGGGTTTCTTGGTGGTGGTTGTTGATACCCAAGTATTGCTTTTGCTGCAGTTTGTAGGGAGTGGGCGATTCTTTGCCATTGTGCTTCTATAATATTACCGGGACAGAAGTTCTTTCGTCAAGCAGGTGGGTAAGTTGAGCGGAGTAGGCCTCGACTACCTGTTGTGTTTGCAGCTTTTCGACGTCGAGTTGCCGTGTTGTGTTAGATCGCACCTCTGCTGCAACATTAAGACGAGTGCGAACCTTGGCTGCCACACGGTAATGGTCCGAATCGATAATTTGGGACCAAATATATTTTCCCTTCCGCATTTTGCATTAAAATCTCCTAGCAAAATTTTAATGCCATGGCCAGGACATGTTCACTACAACCATTAATTAAAAATTAGACGTGGGATTTAAAGATGTGTTTCAAGGTCCAAGTTACACTAAAGGCGTGATTTTTTATACATTCTTAATGTGCAGGCTTGGATAGCTTAAAAATATAAATTTTCAATGTCAGTGTTCAAGGTTGTTTTTAAAGTCCTCTGCAGATCTAATTTTTTTATAACATCATTTATTAAGTTTACTAAGACCCCTGTTTTGATATTTAGTGTGGATTCTTTTAATTTTTTTAATTCACCAAAAAACTAAAGAAAATGCAAAAACTTCCCCACGCAGTGTTGTCGGATAACATTATGAAAATTAATTTATTTATGTTTTCGCTAAATATTAAATATTTAATTTAATTTCATTTATTTTTTTATATACCCTCTACATTAGAATGACACCAAGCTACAACAACAAACAAATATCATATCAATGGTAAAAGTTGCCTTAGGAAAATTGAAGGATGATGTTCTCTTTTTTTGTAAAATTTACAAAATGCCAGGATATTACAAAACTGACACACGCACACACATACATACAAACATAAACAAGGAGTAATATGAAATAGCAATACCAAATGTTATATGAAATATATATGGGATAAATCACAATATCAGGTCCTAAATTTAAAAAAAAAAAAAATGAAATTGAAAAAAAATTAAAAAAAAACAAAAAAGTATTTGAAAAATTAAAACTTCAATTCGTTGATGACAGTGTTTCTCAGATGCTGTACCGATACATAAAGTGTTCTGAAATAGTGTTTGCGGTTTTTTGGGGATACCATTTGTATTTGTTTTTGCAAAATAGTCAGGCTGAAACCCAGTTTGTTGTTGTTCTGAAATATTTTAAAGGGTGCAAAAATTAACGATTCTGAATAAAAATCCCTATTTTACCTTTGATAATATAACGTGATTTGTCCCATACATATTCCGCATATTATAAAAAACATTATTTAACAGAAAATAATATTACTAAACATTTTTGGATGAGCATTTAATACAAAAACCAACAACAACCAACCATACCAAAGAAAAATAGAATATACAAACAAAAAACAACAATAACAAAATAATATATAAACATTACCTATGAAATCAAACCAAAGTGTTTTTGAAAAAAAAAAAATGAAATAGCATAGAAACGATAAATGGTAACAAAAGCAAAACAAAAAAAAAAAAGAAATGCAATTAAACATTATTTTATACACAGGTTTTAAATGGGAAAAATTGAAATAAAATACATACCAAACATATACAACTATCTACAAACAATATGCGCATACAGTGGTGTTCAAAATAAATGTAATTATTATAATTAAAAAACAATAATTTTCGTGGTAAATTTAATGACCTCCAATGATCTCCATAGCTAAATCGAGTTTGAAAAATTTCAACTATTGAAAAATTTTATACCGAATTATATTTTGGCCATCATAATATCAAACGGTCTATCATAGCAGTCCACAGATCTTGAATTAACCATGTGGCATTTCCTAAACAAAACAGATGTCCTGTTGTCGCTTTCCTAATCTAAACAGTCAATCGCGATCCGAAGCATCCAACCTTTCATTCGATGCTGGTGATTTATATTACGAGGGATATTATATTAAATTGCGAACATTTTTAGACTAGACTTTATGTAAACAATTTGCGGCGTATCACTCAGAATCAGCGTTGCCAAAACTTTGTTGATAAAAAATGTTAGATTTTATTTAAAACCAGTGAGCGGAGCTGTATAGTCGGACGGGGCCGACCATATGATACCCTACACAACCACGAAACTCAAATTTTCTGCGGATGTTTAATCCGAGCCTGGGCAATATTTCGTGATATTTGCACCCTCTCGCCCGATTTGAGGTGAACATTATATTACGAGTATTCAGTACTGCTATTGTCCAGATTCCCTTCACTGT